GACATTTTCAAGCAGCGGTGGCTGCAGGGTGTTGTTACTTCCAGTTCTCCAGATTGAAAACAAAAGAAGCTTGCTTATTTTATAACAATGAAATAATGAGGTCAAACCAAAACAAACAAAAACTGTACTGAAACCAACAGCCTCTAATCCAATAGTTCCCAACCTGTTGGTCTCCAGGTGTTTTGGCCTACAACTCCCAGAAATCTCACCCAGTTTACTACAGGGTGAGAACCACTCCTCTAACCAATCCATCCACAGTGTTTCCAACTACTGGTTGGTAGAGAAACAGGTATCAAGAAGCTTTGATTGCCATATTGATTGCCTTCACGCATCTTGTTCAAAAAAGAAAACCCTTGATTTTACAACAACCTAAGGAAGGCAACTGATGTTGACCACAACTCAGATTATTGTACTTTGGACATAGCATGAGATCGGAACTGGCAATTGAATCTCCCCTAGCCGGAAATCTGAAATATTCCATAACCTGAAACTTTTTGCTGTGAAACACCCACTTCCACATTTGGGGAAAGGGGGCTAGACACACATTCAATGCCTGCTATGCATTTCCTTAATCCTGGCTGGTGGGGGGAGAAAGGGGACATCTTCACTTACACGATGTGCCTATAAAAAGATGTCCCAGATGTTCCCATATTAGCCTTCCACATGGCCAATAACAGTGCAAAACAGGACAAACATACTGAGTCAACAGTGTGATGGGGCAGGTAAAACAGCCATGTGATTCTTGGCTGCATCAGTTGAAGTATAGTGTCAAGATCGAGGGAAGTATAGGTTCAAGATCGAGGGAAGCCATAGTTCCATTCCATTCTGCTATGGTTAGAACTCACCAAGAATAACAATGTGTCCAATTCTGGACACCACAATTCATGGATTATTGACAAGCTAGAATGTATCCAGAAAAGGGAGACAGAAATGATCAAACATTTGAAGGCCAAACTCTATAAAGAGAGCCTTAGGGAGTTTGTTTAGCTTGGGGGGGGGGGGGGGGAACTGAGGGGACATGATAGTCATGTTTAAATATTTAAAAGGATGTCATGTTGAGAAGAGGGCAAGATTCTTTTCTGTCGCTCTGAATACGATAACATAGAGAAATGGAGTCAAATTGCAGGGGGAAAAAGATTCTATCTAAACATCAGGAAGAACTTCCTGGTGGTGAGAGCTGTTCAGCAGTGGGATATGATGCATTAGCATTTGGTGGAGTCGCTGTCTCTGAAGAGTCTGAGCAAAGTCTGGGTGGCCCTCTGTCGAGAGTGCTTTGATTGTGTGTTGCTGCATAGCAGGAGTTGGTCTCTTCCCACTCTGATTCTATAACTCCTGGTTATTTAGCTAAAAGGGTGGGAAGTGTGCTGATGGCCACAGAAGTGTCTAGGATGGCTGCTTTTTATAGTAGCCTTGTATAAGTGGAAGCCTCACCCTTCTCCCTCTTCTCTTTTCTCCATCAGGGGTCCTGGAAGAGGCACTCAGCAGGCACTGGTTGTGTGACTAGCCCCCTTTCCCCCCAACTCCCATTCACTCATATATGAAATACAGATATTCTAAAATCCGAAAAGCCTGCTCTCGAGCATTTCACAATCTGTAATGCTGAATAAACTTTAAAAGGGGAAGATCACATCACACAATGTTTGATTCAATAAAGGATGCCACAGCTTAAAATTTACAAGAACTGATAAAGAATCTGTGCAACCTAGATAAGGTTGTTGACAACTTGGTCTTAGAGGTCTCCCATTCATAGGTTTGGCATACATCAAAGCCAACTTGGCAGTGCTGTGGAATCATGGGATTGGTAGTTTTACAAGATCTTTTGCCTTCTCTGCCAATGCATCACCAAACTACAAGTCTCATGATTCCATCATATTGAGCCATGACAGTTAGTGGTGTCAAACTGCACTAACTACAGTCTAAACACACCCTAAGCTGTTTCCTCTTTCTTGGGGTCCAAATCTATTTGAGCTGCACAGCCTGGGCTTCACCAGCATAAACCACCATTCTGCCATCAAAAGGAGTGGGAGTTCCTACAATTCACCTGGATAAGGGAGATCAGATGAAAAATGGTGGCACCTGGTCTTTTGTCTTTGAAAAATTAAGACCTGGGGTCATATTAGCTGGGGGAATACTGAGAGTTGTGCAAACAAGTAACATTTCCAAGCCCCTATATTTTGTGTTTGGATGAACAAAAAAGTAATGTGAATTTTGACCCTGAAAGAGTCTTACATAAGATCCTGACACGAAAGCTTTGAGCAATAGCAGCTTGTCACTAAGAAGCCGGCGCATTCCCCTCAGCGAATGCCAAGTTGCTTATTCAGCCTTAGCCAGACAAATTATGCAGCTCCAGGGAGGGCAAGGAAAATGCTGAGTGAAGCCCTGTCTCCTACCCTGTCACTTGATCGACTATAATTAGCATACCCAAATAAAAAACATTCATAAATGATGAAGCAAAGCACCCTTTGTGATATTAATTATTCTAGCTGGGGAAAGGGAGAGGGGTTGAAGCTGCAGTCTGCTAATTAATTTTGGTAAACTAATGCCACCGAATTTAAAGGAACTGAAAATGATTATTGTTTGGCAAATCCATGCATTCCCAAGCTACTGCCAGCCACCCCAGACACCACTTGGAAATTGAAAGTGGACCAGTTAATTTTAATTTATTCACTTATGGTTATTGTAGACCGCAGGATAATCAACGTTCTTGGGGGTGGCTTACAAAATGGTTAAAAATATGAAATATTTATCATCTTATGTTATTTGTTTTATACTTTTGTACCCTTTTTACCTGTTGTATGTTACATTCTCCAGCAAAGGATCACCGCCTTGTTGGGGCGCTGGAGCTTGAGCACCTCAATGATGTCATGAGCGAAACCGTGAAGGGCCACCCAAGACGGGACGGTTGTGGCAGAGAGGTCAGACCAAGCGTGATCCCTGGGGAAGGCAATGGCAAACCACTCCAGTATCCTTGCCAAGAAAACTAAATGGACCAGTACAACCAGAGATATGTCGGTATGCCATTGGAAGATGGGACTCCCAGGTCGGAAGATGGCCAAAATGCTACTGGGGAGGAGTAGAGGATAAGTTCAACTAGCCCCAGATGTGATGACGCAGCTAGCTCAAAGCCGAAAGGAAGGCTAGCGGCCGACGGTACTGGAGGTGAACGACGAATCCGATGCTCTAAAGATCAACACACCATAGGAACCTGGAATGTAAGATCTATGAGCCAGGGCAAATTGGATGTTGTTATTGGCGAGATGTCAAGACTAAAGATAGACATTCTGGGGGTCAGCGAACTGAAGTGGACTGGAATGGGCCACTTCACATCAGATGACCACCAGATCTACTACTGCGGACAAGAGGAACATCGAAGAAATGGAGTAGCCTTCATAATTAATAAGAAATTCGCTAAAGCGGTGCTTGGATACAACCCAAAAACTGACAGAATGATCTCAATTCGAGTGCAAGGAAAGCCTTTCAACATTACAGTGATCCAAATATACTCCCAACCACAGCTGCTGAAGAAGCAGAAGTAGATCAGTTCTATGACGATCTGCAGGACCTACTGGATAATACACCAAAAAGAGACATTATTTTCATTACAGGAGACTGGAATGCCAAGGTGGGAAGTCAAATGACAACTGGGATCACAGGCAAGCATGGTCTGGGAGAACAAAATGAAGCGGACGCAGGCTGATAGAATTTTGCCAGGAAAACTCGCTGTGTATAACAAACACTCTCTTCCAACAACCTAAAAGACGGCTTTATACATGGACCTCACCAGATGGTCAACACCGAAATCAGATTGATTTCGGTGTTGAAGGTGGCGGACATCCATCCAGTCGGTGAAAACAAGACCTGGGGCTGACTGTAGCTCAGATCACGAACTTCTTATTGCAAAATTTAGAATAAAACTAAAGAGATCAGGGAAAACACACAGACCAGTTAGATATGATCTCACTAACATTCCTAGCGAATATACAGTGGAAGTGAAGAACAGATTTGAAGGACTAGATTTAGTAAACAGAGTCCCAGAAGAACTATGGACAGAAGTCCAAGACATTGTTCAGGAGGCGGCAACAAAGTACGTCCCAAAGAAAAAGAAAATCAAGAAGGCACAATGGTTGTCTACTGAGACACTGGAAGTAGCCCAAGAAAGGAGGAAAGCAAAAGGAAACAGGGATAAGGGGAGATATGCCCAGTTAAATGAACAATTCCAGAGGTTAGCCAGAAGAGATAAGGAACTATTTTTAAATAAGCAATGCATGGAAGTGGAAGAAGACAACTGAATAGGAAGGACAAGAGACCTCTTCCAGAAAA